CTCTTTCTGAGGAGGCCGAGGGAGAGTCAGCTGTGTTCGCACAAGCGTCCGTGCATCGTCCCCGTGGGTCACGAACGGCCGCCTCTGTGTGTCTGCGCCTAACCCACCTCAGGGCAAAGAGGAGGACGGAGCCCCGGGCCTGCCACCACCAGCCCCTCACAGAAAAGGCAGGATATAAATGCAGGGCATAAATATATACGCAACAGCGTGGTTTGGTTGATTTGGGCTTATTCTTTTTAACTTGTAGGTGACGTTTTTCATTTAGGCGCATTGTGCAAAAATAACTTTAATGAATATTCATGAATATTCTTTCAGCTTTGCCAAGGATGTGAATTGCTTGCAGATGGCGAAAGAGAAAAAACATGGATAGGGCTGGGATGTGGAAATTGTGGAATTTCATATGAAGAGAGAGAATCACGTAATCCTGTAGTATTATGGATTTACCACATCGTGGTAAATTAGTGGGAGCTGGACCTGATCACAGGATAGCCCCTAATATGCATTTAAATGAAATACGATAAAAATTCAAGCTGTGACCATTTAGAAGCCTGAAAATCAGCACGCATTTAATGTTGCAGAATTCCTTTCTAATCTAGATGGTGCTGTCAGAAAAAGTAAGCCAGTTGATGGAATGGACTAGCAAAAGGTCAGTTATTCGACTGAATGGGGACAAATTTCGACGTCTCATAAAGGCACCACCAAGAAATTACTCCGTGATAGTAATGTTCACCGCTCTTCAGCCTCACAGACAATGTGTTGTGTGCAAGTAAGAATTTCAGTTATTTGGAAATTCACTGTATTACCAGAAGAGTGTGCTAATTAGTGCATTTTTAAAATGTTTTGTGCTGAAATTATGCTTGTTAGAAGTTGAAAAAGTAGCCATTCATGAAGTAGTGATTTAGAAATATTCCTCTTAAAATGGGTTCATATATGGGGATGAATGTTATGCTGAACCTGCTATAGTTGCATATTACGAACAGCATTTCTTTGAACAATTTGTATAAGGTTCCTAAAGTTCATAAATGCAAATGGTATTAGAAACTGCTGTTTAGTTCATCTTTAACTGATTTGGTGGAAACTGACACTTCAGCTGATTTAGGTGGAAAAAATATCACTTAAGAACATTCCAACCTTTGGAGAGGATCCAATGATTATTTTGTTAAAGGTAGCAAGTTAAAATGAATCACTGGTCTCCTGCTGTTAAGAACAAAGAGTGCCATAGACTTGTTAACCAAGTTCTTAAATAGCGCAACAGAGATGGAAGGTGACTACAGTATAGATTTGACCATTGACAAAGAATTGTTTTGCAACTGTAAGGAGCACAGATGGGGTTCATAGGAATCTAGGTATCTCTTTGTCTAGAAAGACACTTGCAAGGTACTTAGCCTTTAATGGTGTGAATGCCAGTCAAGTTGACTATTATTCTAATTGTTTGAGCCTTGTCCGGCTTTTAACGGAGAGGGTTTTAAACACACCCATTCCTTGAGAATGTTGCAGCTTAAGGAGACATACAGTTTGTAAATTGATATAGCAATTCTGGGCAGAATTATGTCACGAGGGAATAGTTGTGGCATGTATAGGATGGTTTAGCAATCAAGATTGCTGTGACTAGATGCATTGACTTTACACTAAACTGGCAAGCGAAGGCAGAGTTATTCAGGCGCCATTGTTGACCTTGGTATGAGCATGTAAAAGGCAAGAAGCATGTAGAAGAACAATAAAAATTCTCTCCACACCATTCTGACATTAAATTCTAGCTTCTCAGGTCTGAGACACATTTGTTTTCCTGTGCACATGAGAGTAAATATATTCACAGATGTAGCATGGGCTTGAGGGATCCAACCACAAGGGAGCTTTAGTTTGTTTTAGTCAAACCTAAATGGTGCCCAATTTTGACTCTCACAAAACAGCAGCGTACCACCTTTATGCAATCTGAAGTCACATTTGGCCTTGAGTATTTTGGCCATCCCGTATCAAACTGCAGGCGGGGCCAGGACAGAGAAATGAGTGGCAGTGGGAAGAAAACTAAATTTGATTAAATTCAGTTTTAAATTAATTAAATGTAAATATGAACTAAATAAATACAGTTAGGTGGATTACTCTCCATACATTTAATACATTTCCTTACAGTTTGGTGGCAAATTTTGGAAGGGCTCTTGGCACTAATCTAAAGCTTTTCAGGCTCCAGGTGGGGTTAGCAAGTGACATTGTGAGAAGTCTGGGATGGGCTGATGCTTGTCTCTTTATCACTGACACTGGTGCAACATTGGTAGCACTGATACAAGTGTGCATGTTTGGGTTCACGTTCTTCAAATCTGATCTTTTTTCATTAAGGCTTCTGTTCATTTGTGACAGGCAAGCTGATGAAGAGTACCAGATTCTGGCAAACTCCTGGCGATACTCAAGTGCATTTACCAACAAGATCTTTTTTGCCATGGTGGATTTTGATGAAGGCGCTGATGTATTTCAGATGGTGAGGCGTTTCTGGTGACATAAAGTAGTGAGTTTATAGGAATTGCTTATAGAGATTTTTGTATGAGTAAAGAATAGACAAAGATACACATTGCTTTTTTTAAAAAAAATCTCAAGACGTTTAGAAAGCAATCTGAATTACATTCATTCAAAAATAAGTCCCTAAATATTGTTTCTCTTCATTAAGAATAGTTTGGATTGTTGTAAGGCCAGTTATGGTACGGATTAGGATTGTAAGAGTGTGAGCGGCAGGTTGCTAGTCTAGAGCAGTGTTTCTCAGCCTTAGCAGCTTTAAGATGTGTGGACTGCAATTCCTAGAATTCTTCAGCCAGCATCTTAAAGTTGCCACGGTTGAGAAGCACTGTAGAGCAGTGTAGCTGGAGGGTTGGAGCCCAAGTAGACAAAAGGGGTGTTTCCCATCCTTGTATAGCCTCATGACCAAGAGACTGATGTTATCAGTTATAAACTGAATATTACTGAGAAATCTGAGTTTCCATAACTGTGAATCTGTTTGAAAGCATGAATTTTAAACCTTGGCAGTACAGACTAAGTTTTCAATGACATGTTTATCTGTGTTTTACTTGAAAAATAAAGCTCAACATGAATTCTGCTCCAACCTTCATTAATTTCCCACCAAAAGGGAAGCCAAAAAGAGGAGATACTTATGAGCTGCAAGTACGAGGTTTTGCTGCTGAACAGCTTGCCCGCTGGGTGGCTGATAGAACTGATGTCAATGTAAGTAAACACCAGATTTTGTTATGCTTTTAACTCTGAATGCACAAAGAGATGGTCTCTTATCCTGCTGCTTGCCTTGGGGAACCATTGCTGAATTCCTGGGCATCTCCTTTCGCTTCAGAGAGTAAGACTGCTGTGCAAAGAGACTGAGTTTTAAAGTCAGCTGCTCTTAACCTAGGTAATGACAATTAGCTGGTCTAAAGCAGAACTGAGTTCAGTCTTATAAACTGGATTCAGTACAACCCCACAAGCCAAAACTAAGCCAAACACATTGTGTCTTAGGATATTATGTAATCCTAGCTGTTTGTAAACCATCATTTATGTCTTCACGTGTCGGGCAAACTCAGTCATTGTGATTCATTCAATAAACCTTGTTTAATAAAACCATGACCTAACCATGAACCCAGTAATTGTTTGCATGAACCCTGGAAAACAAGTTTTTTTTTTTAAATCCCGAAAGTGGGAAGATACAGTGGTTGAAGGTTGAGACATTTTAAAGGAAAACAATTCTAGAGTTTGTTAGTTTTCAGATGTGCTCAGCTGCCAAACCCGCCACGGCAATGCATTATAAAAATGTTAAGCTTTTTATTATGGGACTGGTGTTTATCTTGCAACTCAGGAGTGTGCTAGAGTGTGCAGTGGTACAATCCAATGCTTGTTCCACTGATGTCTAACTGAGCCTCCCTATAATATTTGCTTCTTGAATGAACACTTTTTATAAAATGGGTTGAATGTATTTTAACAAGCAAGTTAATTATTTTAATAGAGTTATTAAAATATGCAAGAATGGCTTGAATATCTAACTTCAGAAGTTAATCTGCATTTTTCCCTATGGAGCATTTCAAATACTTTTTAAAATTTTGCTATCATTCACAGTATAACTTTTTCTTTGATGGAAAATTGATCTGAAGACACTGAAGGGGACCTACTTTGTATAGATTCTCCTCTACCATCACAGTAGGAGAGCAGTAGAATAAGTGGCAGTTATTTTTATTATAGAAATTATAGCATTTATTTCTCATTTTAATTATTTCTAGCCTGTTGCCCAAAAGATACAGAACGCGCATAAACAATGCACAACATAGCCCTTGTTTTAAAATGTATTATATTCTGGATCAACTTCAGTTATTGGTCATATTAGTGATTTGCTGGAGGCCCATCTAGTACCTTGGCAAGGCCCCCCAGTTTCAAAGAAATGGATGTGCTCGCTTTCCATAAATCATGCAAAAGTTTTAGAAGCCGTATGGGAGACATCTAAGTTATGTAGCATTTTAACGGCCCCAGCGTTGAAAGGCTATGTCCCCGTTTGATGGCAGTGAAATAATAAAACTCAGGGGAAGGAGATTCGAGATGACAATTGCAACCTGTCTTTGTCACAGATCCGAGTAATAAGACCACCAAACTATGCTGGGCCCTTGATGTTGGGGCTGCTGCTGGCTGTCATCGGTGGCCTTGTCTATTTAAGAAGAAGCAACTTGGATTTTCTCTATAACAAGACGGGCTGGGCTTTTGCTGCTTTGGTAAGTAATCTGACATTTAAAGCACCTCTGTTGACTCTTTCCTGCTCTACTCAAATCACACAGGCGCACTCAGTGAACTATCTTGAATAAGCTGCATTGTGCATTCTTTTTCTCCCCTTTTTTGAAAGTGAGAACTTGATATTTATAGGAAATAAAGTTGCTGTATTCCTATTTGGGAGTTATTTTTTGCAGGAAACAGGCAGATCTGAAATTAATATTTTAGCCCATTTTTGCTTCTTTGAGAATAAATTTAATATTGGTAGGTGATAAGACACACCTGATTAAGTCACACGATTGCATAATTAACACATGAATAGTTTGAGGATTTCATTAAGAACAAATATTTCAAATAACTTTGAAAGTCTGAAAAAAAGAAGCAGCCCTGTTTGTGGTTAGTTAATATGTAGACAGCATTCCTTTGGTAGGTTCGTTGGTGGCACGTGCATGGCTGCTGATTCACTCTCTTTGTTTTTAGTGTTTTGTTCTGGCTATGACATCAGGGCAGATGTGGAATCACATCAGAGGGCCTCCATATGCTCATAAGAACCCTCATACAGGACAAATGGTAAGTGTGAGTTAATTTCTGCTTGAAAATGTGTCATGATATCACCATTAGCGTCTTTTATTAGCCCTTGCCTTTGAAGGTAATTTTCCTTGGCTCCAGGCCCTCATCTGCCGGGACGTTTCCAAGTTCAATGGCCAATGGGTAATAAGACTGCTGAGACTGTTAATTACTAGGACATGCCATCAAATTGTTCTGGGGCTCAGCTTCACTTTCTGAAGAACTGATTTTCGGTAGCTTTGTGCTCATGTGCAAATCCAGGTTTGGGGTTTTGTCCCATAGAAGTAATGTCATGCCTTGACTTCTTATTTTCCAGAGCTACATCCATGGGAGCAGTCAAGCACAATTTGTTGCTGAAACTCATATTGTTCTACTGTTTAGTATCCTTAATGATAAACAGAATATGCAAAAGTACAATCAGAAGTGTTTTTCAGCCTTGTGCTGCATATGTGATGATTTTACAAGTTAGGAGTTGGCATGGATTGGGTTGAGAGTGTATGGACTGCAAATTTACTCATGCCAATCTGGACAGGAGATCGCTGGGATGAATCTGTAAGAGCAGGTAAGAGATAAATGGATTCATCTGAGGGTGGCTTATTCTGTTCCAGTTGTAACAGAAGCATTTGCTATCCTGATTAACAGGTAGTTTACAGGTAGTCCTTACTTGCTGACTGCCTTGTTTAGCGACCATTTAAAGTTACAACAGTGCAAAAAAAAGCTTTGCGGCCAGTCCTCTCATTTATGGTGGTTGCAGTATCCCACGTTCATGTGATCGCCATTTGCGCACTTCACTGCTGGTTTCCAATAAGCAGAGTTAATGGAGAAGACGGAAGTAAAATCGCAAGTCGCGGTTATGTGATGTCTTGCTTAATGATTGCGGTGACTCACTTAATGACCAAAGAGAATGTGAGGTTGTAAGCTTGTCAAGGTCACATGATTTTCTGCTTAGCAACTGTGGCACTTAGTGACAGAATAGCTGTCCCAATTTTGGTCACTAAGCAAGGACTACCTGTAAACACAACCCATCACATTGGTTGGAGTTATCTGTCTATCCTTCAAATGACACACTTCACAGTCAACAAACCGTGGGCAGATGTTTTGCTAACCATTCCATTTAAACTAACCAATTCCTATATTTAAAGTGTAGAAATCTCAATTTTTGCAATAATTATGTAATTAGATCTAATGTGAGAGGCTAAGTATTAAGTTTATTATTTATTTATATGCGCTTCCCATCATTGTAGTTCTTAGTTTACAGTCAAACAGTTAAAATACAGCAACACAACAGTAAGTTAAAAGCTGTAAAAATAAAATGTGCTGAATAGGATTGAAGGATGCCCAGTTGGCCTAGTGGTTAAGATGGTGAATTAAGAGCAGGAAAACCTGCCTTAGGCACGGAAGCCAGCTGGGTGACCTTGGGACAGTCCCTCTCTCTCAGCCCCAGGAGGGAGGAGGCGAGGGCAAGACCCTTCTGAAAATGCTGCCAAGAGAACCTCAGTCGCCAGGAGTCAGGATTGACTCAGAGGCACAGAAAAGAAAAGATTGAAAGCAGAACCCCAGAGAGAAGCTATGCACGTCTTATGTATGCAGGGAAGGTCTGGGGGAAGAGGCTTATCTTCCATCAGGACCTGAAGTTGCTGCCAGAGCAGCCTCGTGCGCTTCATGGGAGAGAATATTCCTGAATTCAGGCCCCATCCAGAGAAGGCTTCTCCATGTGTGAGGGTGAGATGGGACCCTTGGCAAGCTCACTGGACCTTACCAGTCCACGTTAAGGTCTGTAACGGCAAAGGTGGTCTGTCATGTAACTGCGTCCCAACTTCTTTAGCCTACGCTAACCGTTACGAGTCATAAGCCAAACTTAACGACTGAGCAGGATTTGGACCCTGACCTCCCAGGTCCACAAACAACATCCCACGTTACTGGAATCCTAGCTGTGGTGTTTTACCCATGCAAGGAGGAAGCGGGCAGGCATGTAGGCAGGGCTGCCCTGGCCTCAACATGGAAAGGTGCCTGACGGACTACTGTTGGTTCTTGGTCCAGCCCTAAGCAGGCTTTCTTCTTTTGCAGAGAAGGGAGAAGCTGCACTCTCTGGTGAAGCAGAGGGGTCATCTGTCATGTTTTAGGGAGGGACCCAGATGCCAGAGGGGAGCCCAAATACTCAGGCAGATAGGGAGGCTCAACCCTATTTAGGAGTCACCTCTGATGTCTTGAAAGCTTTCCAGCCTGAGAAAAGGCAACCTGTGCTTCCCTGGCAGAATTTATCATTCCCACTGTTGAAGAAAAGAGTTTGAATGGGTTGACTCCATTCTGACCCAAACCAAGAGACCGAACAGAACATGAAAAAAACCTGAAAGCTGTGCAGCTGGAACAATAGTTGTTGCCTGTCTCAAAAATTAAAGGTTTTGCTCTGTCCAGGTTCTTAGCCTTAACGCCCCTTCTCACAGATGCAGGTGTCACTCTGGGGATTGTGCTCCTTTACGAAGCTGCTACGTCTGACTTGGAGGTGGGGAAGAGAAAAAGTAAGTACCAGCGTTGACAGCAAAATGCTTTCCATTGGACTATATTGCTGGAGGCAAGTGGGAAAGGGAGAGAGCGCTTAAACATTTGAATGCTTGGACAGTGGTTCTTCTGACAGGTCCATTGTCAGTATAAAATATGTTTGCCGTCCTTTTTAATGAAAGGATTTGGGAGGCCCTTTTTAGTGTTCCTGGGGGTTTTCTCACCGACTTTCCTTCCCGGAGTGCTGCTTAACAAGGAGTGCCGGTCGTTAGAAGGGCCTGCTTTGCAGGCCTTTGGGGTTCCTCTCCTCCGGCTGCTGGAGCTGCAGCATCCTCTGGAGGGCCCAGGAAGCTGTTCACGCCTGCAAGTGTATCAAGGCAGTGGCTGCCTTCACACTTTGCAGCCCCCCTCCCTTTCCAGTGCATTGCTCAGTCCCGTTCCTTAAATTTCAATCTCATGATGGTATTTCGGGTAGCATGAATAGGCTTCTTTGCTCTTCCATAGTAATGTGTGTGGCTGGCATTGGCCTTGTGGTGGTGTTCTTCAGCTGGCTCCTCTCAATATTTAGATCCAAATATCACGGCTATCCATACAGGTATGCATTTTCTATCTTTTAAATCGCTCTGCTCCAAGAAAAAGACTTTTGATAGCATGATGAAATGCACCCACCAAATGGACAGTGTTCATTTGCAAATGCACAGCCAATATGGGCACAGTTTGGATTGTCCTAAGTTCTTAATAGATGGAAAACCCCACTCACTGAACATCCATGTTGTACTTCCTGCTCCCTGCTTTCTATTGTCATACATCTATTTTTAGGTATATTTTTATCCTGCTTTCAAGTAATGCTGGCTTATCATCTGAGTGTGGAATACTGCAAAATACACTTGCTTTCACTCAGTGACATTAGGAGTAGGAAGGAATCGCTTATTTTGATTTGATAATTATCTAAGTACATATAGATAGGTAGAGTGTGTGTGTGTGTGTGTGGGCGCATGTGTGTGTATGTATAATTTTGTTTTTCTTTTCAGCTTTCTGATGAGTTAAGGATGTTGCTGCTTTGTGGTTTGCAAAGTGGAGCACTGGCATCGAAGATCCAGATCATGCTACCTCTCTTCAGAATGAATGGCACACCAAAGATACCTGGTGCCTTGGCAAAAAAACTGTTTGCCCTAAACGTCATGATGCATATTACAATACATTCCTCTTCCCCATTTGTTTGAAGCCACGGGTAACTTGTATTCTGGGCTTTGCATTGCTTGTTGTCTTTGAAGCAAGTGAGCCTTAATTCCCAGGGCACGGTTCAAAAAGCCGAATTAGGTGCATGCTTATGTCTTGCAGGTGCATAGAGACATTGGCTGTTCGCAGCTCCGTGCACTGCAAGATCCTCAGAAGTGACTTATCTCGGGGGCGGGGGGGGCTGGGGCTTTTTCAGAGAAGGATGGGGTGTTCAGAGCAGTCCTTTAACAGATAAGCTCCCACCATTGCCATCTTTCCAGCATCTGCAAGGGTTTTATTTTTCAGTCAGATTTCTCACTGGGGAGAACTCTTGCCAGACCTAGGCATTATGGCCCTTGATGTGAGAGGAGGGAGTTGGATTCCAATGTTCTGGTTCTGTGCAGTGGGTGATTTGCTTTCACCTAGAACCAACAGAGGAACCTTGAGGGGGAACAAAAACCATTGAACCTTCCAAGCATTTATTTATGCCATCTTAATAAAGTGGCTTCCTTGGGCCTTTTCTTTGAAGAGAAATTAAGAACGATGCCATGTGTCAGACCATTTCTATTGCCATTTACTTGGTCACCTGCTGAACAGAATTTCCCAAAACAATGGGCTGCCCTCTCATCACGTGTGGACAATTTTGAGATGGCACCACCATGTAGATTTATCTCTACAGTGAAGTCCCATTATTGTGCTGATCTTTACCAAGCACAGTCACCTGTTCCACTTTGATCATGGCCATTGCTTGTCGTGGGTTGGACTAGGTTTTCAGTCCTCCACTCCGTTCCCAAAACACGAGTGGCATTCTTAAAATTCTTTCCATAACTGACCGATGGGGAGAGTGGGCACAAAAGCAGGATCTCCTCTCTATCTCCTGTCCTGGGTGCTATGTATGTAATCCTGGGCGTCTGGTATCGAAATCAAGGGGCAGCCCTCACCAGAAAAGTGGCTGATATGGGGAGGGGGCAGCTTAAATTTAAACATTTCCTGTTCTGAATCCTGACCAGATATCAAACATGCTAACCTGTCTACCTGTGGCAATGGAGACCTCATATTCAGTGGACTTCTTTACTTCCAAGACATTTTGGAGATGAAAGAAAATCCCAAAATACACAGAGGCTGCAGTAGCTGAGTTTTCTTCAGGTGACAGTGGTTGCCATTTGAAGAGTTCTCCCTTCCCTGTGTCCTGCTTGGTTTTTATACCAAGGCCCAGATTCTCTAAAGGAACACCGGTTGGGTTTGGTAACATTAGCTCATCTGGGGCAGAGCTTAATAAGGGCTGTAGAAGAACAAGAAAAATACATTTCCTCTGGGGAGCAAGGGGAGTGGCTACTATGGTAACTCAGCTACATAGTTTTCTCTTATACAAGTTTCCTACATTCAATTACTTTTCAAGTGCCTTAACACCATTAGACTATTTTTTCAGTATTTGATTCCAACAATGTTTGAAAAATGCATTTTTATACGATTGAGAGCATCCAAGTTGTAGCATGGATATTGAAATGACTACTGTTGATATTTGCCAGCTTTCAATAAATACTTTACAAACATGGACCAGCAACTGTCTTTTTGAACTTGACTGCCTCTGGAAAACCTCAGTCTGTGGAGATTTCCTCCTGCCTTTCAGTCAACTGATTTGAAGGTCTTGGAGCACACGTTCAGTCTTGGCACCTTTGAGATTCTGTCTTGTATGATGTTCATTTTTTAAATGCCTTTAATTACAAAATTGGCCATTGCAAAGCATTGCGTCAAGCCTTATTTCCAAGAATACTTACAGAATGTAAGTATTCTTGGGGGAAGGTGTCTTTAAAAAGATAGCAGTCAAAAAATAGATTGTAGGTCAATTGACTCAGGGTCTTTGTGTCTTTTCACTGTACCTCGGTCCATTTCTTGAATTGGTTGAATCCTGCATTTTATTAGTTTAATGATTCATTAATAAATTGCATTTTCCGCATGCTGGTATATGCAGATGGCGTACAACAAAATATAAAACAACCCAGGAGCAAGAAACACTACTAAAATGTGGAACAAAAGCTCCCATTCAAACCTAAAGGGTTCTCTCCAAAACCCAAGTTTCAGACAAGCAGAGCTGGAATCAAAACACATGTGCTGTCTATCACCAACCAGTATCGATGGTGCCCTAGCAGCAGCGTTTATGTTCAAAGCTCCCATCCTCTCTCTGAGCACAGCTGGAAAGCAACTGGAAGCAGCGCAGCTCACACAACAACAGTGTAACATGGGCAACTTCTGGGGCACGCAGAACTGCATACGCACCACCACAGGCTGGACCCGCTCAGCTTCAAGGGCAGCCCATGTAGAGCACACTGCAGTAATCCAATCAGGAGGTGATTCGGGCATGAGTGACTCTGAGCAAGGGATCCTGCTGCAGGAATGGGCACAATTGGCACAAAAGATAAGTGTGTGCAGAAGCCTCCCTGACCACAACTGCCCCCTGCTCTTGCAGGAGCTACAAGTCCAGGAGGGCACACCAGCTCTGTTTGGGGGAGTGTTATCCCATCCAGAGTCAAAGATCTCTCTCCTGACCCCAGGGATCCAAAAACCCACAACCACTCCATCTCGCCGGGCTGTAGTTGCAGCTGATTTCTCCCCATCCAGGCCCTGACAGCCTCCAGGCCCTGAGCAAGCACCTGGATAGCATCGCCTGCCTTTCCTAGGGTGGCGATGTTCACCAAGATTAACACCAGACAAACGAACCAAGGGAAAAAAAACGCCCAGCCATCACTGGCAGGGCAAGCTACTGCATATAAACAGAATGTCAGGAGCTGCAGCTTTCAGTCCCAATAAGGAGAAACCTTCCCTGGAACTCAACAAGTCCAAAAGAAAAGTCAGTTTATTGAGAGTTAACATGCAGCTGGGGTAGAGAGGGCTGGAACTGAAAAGCCCGCGCGCGCCAACGCTTGCTTAACCCCTCGTTCCTTGCCCCCCTTCCCCCCTCGGGCCTTCTCCTGCTCTCACGCTGGCACGGCCTTGGCATTCTTGAACATAGATAACAGGCCATCTGCCCTAACTGCTCTTCGCCTAGCCCCCACCGCACTACTCTGGCAGAACTGAGCAAGCCAGCTATGATGCCGGTTAACTGATTGCGAGGTTCTGACATTCTGCTCCTCCAGAAAAAGAAGTTTCACCCAGAAGAATATATCTGCAAAAGAAGAAAATAGAGCAAAAGGATACGTCGTCGCACGTCGTTACAACTTGCAGTTATATGTAGTTACCTTTACTTTGCCTTATCTGGATACTTTTTATTTTATTTATTTTTTATTTATTTATTTGACTTGTCCCCGCCCATCTCCCCACAAAAGTCTTTAACAAGTTTAGGCACTCTCACGAACAGTGGATGTCTTAGGCAAAGTCAGTCTAAATTAAACTGGTCCAATAACCACCTCAATAGGAAACGGGCCAACATATTTAGGACCCAGTTTCTTAGATGGTTGGGTAGCCTTCAGATGTTTAGGCGGCAGCCAGACTTTATCTCCCACTTTCCAAGGCTTTTCTGGCGAGCGCTTGCGATCTGCGTATTTTTTATATTCCTCTCTTGCCTCTTCTAGTGCAGTCTCAGTTAGTGGCCAAAGATCAGTCATTTGTTTGATCCACTCATCTCTAGACAACTCTGGTGAATCCTTTAAGGGCAATTCTGGTATCGGCACAAAGTCCTGCCCCGTGGCTATTTTAAAAGGTGTAAATCCAGTACTCTGGTGCACTGTGTTGTTATAAGCCACTTCAGCGAAGGGTAAAAGTTCTGCCCAATTATCTTGCTGATAATTAATGAAACACCTTAAATACTGCTCCAATACAGAGTTCAAACGTTCCAAAGATCCGTCCGTCTCCGGATGGTGCGAAGAGCTTAGCACCCGTGTCGATCCAATTAAATCTATAAATTCCCGCCAAAATTTTGAGGTGAACTGGACCCCGTGGTTGCTGATTATTGCGAGGTTCCGACATAGAGACCAAACCCCACTCCCTTCTAGCGCTGAAGATGTTACCTAGCCGGGTAACAAAACATTTGCAAGAAAACAACCAAGCTCAGAGAACCCCAAGGCCTCCACAGTTCAACCCTGAGCTACACATATTCGCCTCTATTGGCACCACAAATGGGCGTCAAACACTTCAGAAAGCATGCAGTTGAGAGAAATTTGCATGCAGGCAAACCTCCACCAAGGAACAACTATTCTTTCTACACAAATGCCTACGACAGCATACCCTGCCCACCAGCGTCAGATACAAGCCTCCAATAAACTGCACAGCAGGATGGAAAATAGTGCAAAAAAGTGAAATGACTAATGATCGTGGGTGCACACCTTAGACTCAACAAATATCACCATACCGTAGACAACCTCAAGGAGCGACTGGAACAAACCATGGCCCCAGAGCATACAAATATACTGACAACCACCATCAAGAACACATCCCAAAGGCAAGCTGAGAAAAGAAAAACAAAACTTCAAACTAAACTGCTGAAACTAAACCCCAGAAACAAAGAGGTACCTGAACCCGAATGGGTAATCAACATGTCCAGCCGACTACTATCCACTGCAGAAAGGCCTCAACTATAACATGGACAATGCTAATCAGCTAGAATTCTGTGGAAGCAGCATTTAAAACCACAGGACTTAACACGGAGACCCAAGAAAACATAAGGCAGACAATCATACCACAGATCAGAAGAACACAGAATCAGCACCAACTCGAAGCAGAGGACAGAGCAGCCCTCAAAAGCCTAAGGAACGACCAAACCATCATCATTCTCCCAGCAGACAAAGGCCAAACCACAGTTATCATGGATAAATCACAATACATGCAAAAAGCCAAAAAATTATTGGAGGACAAAGGAACCTACATCCCAGTTAACACCAACCCAATACAGAAACTAGACAACCTGATCAAGAAAACCCTTAATTGCCTCACCAAGAAAGGCCAGATCACAAAAGAAGAACAGTGGCGGATGAAAAGCAGTGGACCCTCCTCCTGCATTTCTATGGACGACCAAAAATACACAAGCCCAACATACCTCTCTGACCAATTGTATCGTTACCAGGGACTCCAACACAGAACATAGCAAAAGAAGTGACAAAAAAGCTTGGACATCTCACAGAGAGGAGCTAATATTCTATCAACTCCTCACTACAATGCCTCCAGAAAATCAAAGATGTACAAATAGATGAAGATGAAATTATGGCCTCATTTGATGTCACAGCACTCTTTACATCCATAAACCCGGAACTAGTGAAAGAATCCACGTCAGCAGTACTACACAACACACCCAACCTAACCAAATACACCAAGATCGAAATACCCAGAACCATGGACCTCATCAACCTCTGCCTCACTACCTATGTTCAGTCTGATGGACAAATATACCAACAAATCAGAGGCAGACCCACGGGATCACCACTCTCAGGACTCATAGCAGAGAGTGTAATGCAACGTCTAGAAACTATAGCACTTCCATGCATACAACCCAAAGTATGGATCTGGTATGTAGATGGCACCTTTGCATTATAAAAAAGGAACAACTAGAGAAGACACATGAACCATCAACAACATCTTCAAAGGAATAAAATTCACCAAAGAGGAAGAATCTCAGACTACCCTTCCTAGATATCCACATTAGCAGAGGAAAAGACGGCAAATTAGAAACATAAGTCTATCGGAAAACAACCCACGCTAACCATGTGCTCCATTACCAAAGTAACAACCCAACCTCCCACAAGAGGAGCTACATAAGAACATCATTCACATAAGTACAAACACACTGCAGCAACTCAGAACAGCAGAAAAAGGAAACAGACCACCTATACAACATCTTCCAACAAAATGGACACCCACGCAACTTTATCAAAAAGTGCCTGACCACTCAACCCAGTATAGCACAACCAACACAAGCTATGAAAAGGATAACACTGCCATACTTCAGAAACATCTCAGAAACAATCAACAGACTGTTATAACCACATGGCATCTCCGTAGCACACAAACCAACTAAAGCCCTCCAAAACATCTTAAGCAAACCAAATGACCCAGTAGCCCAAGGAGAAAAAGCAGGAGTCGCCTTCAACATACAGTGTAAGGACTGTACCAACCACTATGTAGGACAGACAGGCAGAAGACTTGCAGAGCACATCCATGAACACCAATTAGCAATCAGAAGACACAACATACAGTGTAAGGACTGTAACAACCACTATGTAGGACAGACAGGCAGAAGACTTGCAGAGCACATCCATGAACACCAATTAGCAATCAGAAGACGCAATGAAAACTCCTTAATCTCACAACAAAATGGACAGACTCAACCATAGTTTCAACTGGGAAACTGTCAGCATCTTAGACCAAGCTAAATCCAAAAATGCAAGGGAATTCCTGGAAGTTTGTATTCAGACAAGGCAGCCGTCAACAGGCACATAGGGATAAACAACGTTTACACACTATTCAAAAGAGACAATAGAAAGGAAAACAAAGACCAGAACATCTCCTTGCCAGCAATCATCACCCAGATAAGCAGAGATTACCACCAGGCATACAATCAAGCAGTAAAC